ACAATTGTCACTACCTTTTACACTAATACACTTACAAGGGCAAAAATGTCTTTTATCTATATATTTTACTCACTGTCAATATAATATCAATATTCCTTAAATCTCGTGTCCAATCAAAGACTATAGTTTTGGGACAGAGGGAACGGAGAGAGTATTAAATAGTAGTACTTCATCCATCCCAAACGTGCAACATTTCCTTTTTGGTATGTCTCAAACATTCTCCAATATTTCCAAAATATAAAATAATTAATTATATTTAATCTCTACCCCACATTTATCTCATCCCATCACACAAATAAAAATAAAAAGTAAAATATATATTTCTTTCTCTATTACATCACCTAATTTATAAATTATCCTACTTAATACTTCCAATTTAAAAACTTATGTCTAGAACAAATATTGTCCCTTATTTGAGACGGAGGGAGTAATATCTATTTATATCACCAAACACCATTTCAATTTGAATGTTAGAATAAATAATTCAATTCATTACAATAATGTACAGTAACCGGTAGCCGGTCACTTTCTTGAATAGCATTATGCATTTTCAAAGAGTGCCCTACATTGGACTTGCCTATTTGCAACTAACTAAAGATAGTTTGTGATTATTTTATTCTTTTTATTTTTATATATTTGTGATAAGAAACAATATATTTTTATTAAAAATAATAAAAATCTAAATCAAATATAACCATGTGTATTTGTGTATTGGTTTTTGTTATAATTTTTGTTTTTTTAGTATATAATATTATATTTTAAAGTAATTTTTTTAGTCTATAATTTATATAATATATTTACACAATGTATTTTATAATTAAGGTAAAAATACATGGATTGTTATATAATTCATCAATCATCATACAAATTAATTAAATAATTTTGTGTGTCTGTGTTTGGTAATTTGAATTGTGATTTTTTTTGTGAAAATAATTTCGGATATATATTTTTTTTAAAATATTTGGTGGAATTTTGAAAAATAAAAGAAATAAATAAAAAATAGTACGAAGAAAGAATGATGCTATTGAAATTATTTTAATAGTAATAGAAATTGAATTGACATTATATATTCCCATGATGGAGTAGACAAAATTATGATTAATACTACAATGATTTTATTGAATTTATTTGATCTGAATGGCCCACCAATTTTTGACTTTTGACAAAGTTAATTCAGACTCTCTATCTGTGCTTTTGTTCCAAGCAAACCCTATTCCACTTTATTTATTGATTCTATAATTTAAAGCAATTTTTGTTGTTTTTATTATCCTCAATCCCATTACCGTTTTTTCTTGTTAGCTATTTAGATATTAATTATTATATTAATACGGAATATAAATAAAAAATATAAAAATATTTTTATTAGTTTTTTATAATACAAATACAATAATATTTATGAAATAAATTATACAAATATAAGAATATTTTTAACATTAAACACAATAACGCAAAACGCAAACAGTATCCTTTTTATGAGACGAAAATAGTGGTAATATAGTATTTCCGTCATCAAAATTTATTTTCGTTGGATTGGATAAGAATTTTAAGAATACTTAGTAAAAATAATGTTATTTTTTTAAAAAAAAAAAAAAAAAAAGAGAAGAAATATATTTTTTTATGGGACCCAAAAAAAAAGAAAAATGGACAAAGAAAGAGCAAAGAAAACTGAATTTTAATTTCCATTGTAATTATTCTGACTTATTATGATGGAATAAATTGAATTATTATTATTATTATTATTATTATTATTTTAATTCCTTTGCAATTGTACTTTCATAATTCTATATGGAAGTATAGTAGTTTTTCTTTTATAAAATATTATAAGTATTCAACTACAATTTATATTAATAATTAAAATCAAAATGTACATTACCAAAAATATTATTACCAAAAGTTTAAAAAAAAAATAAAAAAATAGTCCAATGCTTATTTATTTTGGTTAGCATCTGCCCTTCTATAATTTCAATATAATTCTTATTTTGTCTCCTGAGGGATGGTCTGGTCGTACAGGGTTGGACTTCTGACTGTGAGGGTGGCTGCGTGTTCCCAAATCATCCACAAAAAAAAAAAAAAAATCTCTTATTTTAAAAAATATTATATAAAATTACTATTTAAAAAAATACAAGTATAAAATATAAAATAATAATAGTAATACTAAACCAAACACACTTGACACTTTTGTACATCAACATAAATAATTATTATATATATATATATATAATTCCAAAACTCACCAATTAACTCTGAAACTATTTCACAATAATTAGGTCTGACTTTGAAATTGTTCTTGTGGAAATAGATATGAACATTACAATAATAATGTATAATTATACTAATCTTTTTAAATCATATTTAAATTTTAAGATATTACATATATATTCTTTAATTTTTTTTTACAAAAATTATTATTTTTGTTTGCCTTTTGTAAGTAAACCTTTATATATTGCCAATATTTTTTCAAGACCAAACAAAAATATTTTAAAAATTATTGAAAAGTTGGGATGTCCTAATGATTAATCATTTACATCATCAAACCTGTCCAAAAAGCAAATATTAAATCAGAAGTAATTTCTTTTATAAATAAGCAAGAATTTCCTAAAGAGGATGATTGAATAAATGAAGTCACTGTCACAATATTTATATATATATATATATATTGAATAAAATTAAATTAGTGTGATTAATGCTAAGTGGCAATCAACATACTAAAATAATGTCACAAGATTGAGACACACCACCTCCAATTATATCATATATTTAATTTAATTTATTTTTTTTTTACCTTAAATTGATTCTTCATTACATTATTTTTTTTTAAATTAAAAAGTGAATTCTATTATAAGATTCCTTGTCCCTATTTATTTAATTTAAATTACAATATATACATGTATATTCCATTAACCAAGTAGGTTGATAGCATCTTATAAAATTTATTTAAAGAAATAAAATAAAATGTGTAGGTAGGAAGGATTTGTATTGGAGATAAGGATATGGTGATGGTAGACTCAAATGTTTTAATATTATTTCTTACAAGTACGAAAAAATAATAATTATATTAAAACTATTATGCATTATCTTTGTACTTGAATTTTAATATTAATTTAAATAGTATGTTAGATATAATACGTTGTTATAATATATATATATATATATTGGAAAAATAATACTCATTTTGTTCACCTCTAATAATAGTTTTGTTCGCCTCTAAGATCATCTTTACCTAAATAATACTCATTTTGTATATATATTTTTTTTACAAATATCATTGTATTAGTATTATAAGACACTGATGGAAGTATTTTTGCATTTTTTTTCTTAATTTGTACTATATTTTGATATAAGAATTAATATGCAAAGATAAATACACAAAAAATAAATGAAATTTTTAGAGTCGGACAGTATAATAAAAATTAAAAAAAAACTCATGTTTGTGCTTATTTTTTAATTTTTTAAATAAATAAATATTGAATATAATATTTATATACTACAATATTAAAGTTTGTTTGCACCAAATGAAACTTGCATATTACGATTATATAAGGGATGCTATGACTCAAATTTGAGACCTAAGGGTAAGACTCTGATACTATATTTGATACTATATTTGACGATATAAATGATTCTTATTTAAAAATTTAAACTATTAAAAATAAGTATAATTTATTTATTTTATCAATAAATGAAAGTTAACCAACTATTATAAATATAATCAAATCAAAATAGTATTATATTTAAATATAACTTAAATCAAACAAATTCTTAGTAATCTATGTGTGTTTGGTTTGTATTTCAAACATAATTAACTTTAATAATATACTATTATTTTTTATAAAAATATCATCTAAAAATTGATTTAAATAAAAATATCAAACTAAAGTTAAACCAAACAAACCAAAAAAGTAAAAATAAACTGAGCCAAAAAAGTATGTTTGTGTCCTACAGATTTGAATTAATTTGTTATTTTTCAGATAAAAAACATTAAATATAATGTTATAAGTGTATAATTAATATATATATATATACATGTACTCCTAAAACACAATTAAATATATATCTTAATTGTTTCAACTATTTTGTCAAATTTAACTTGGTCACGAAGTTTTAAATATTATATAATTAATAAATAATTAAAAAATATATTAGTAAAAATAATTATAATTAAAAATATAATTAAAAATTAAAATAAAAATGACTAAATAATTTAATAAAAATAAAAAATTATAAATTATAAATTTTAAAATATAATTAAAACGTATAATTAAATTTTCTATAAAAAAAGATTAATTATGTGGACAAACAACACAGATAGAAAGAGCGACAAATGAAGTGGGATAGGAAAAATATAAAACAAATCAACACAAGAAATAAAAACACAAAGGGTGTGTTTACTTGGGAGGTTGTAGTTTTGAGTTTTGATTTTGAATAGTAAAATTTTGAATTAAAATAATTATTTGATATGATATAAATATGTGTTAATATAATATTATAAATAAAAAATTAAATTTTAATGTGCTAAAAAAATATATATTTAACTAAATATTTTTGAAAAAAAAATAAAATAAAATAAAACCTCACAATTAAAGACACCCAAACAAACATATAAGCACGCCCCAAAACAAAACTAAAGCATTAATAAAATTTAAAAATAAAATAAAATCTGAAAACGTAATCAGGTACAGCGGGTGCACATGCCCCCAATGGTATGAGCTGTACCGATCCACCACACAAAGTCGCTGTGGGCCCCGCAAATCGAACTCACAGCTCATATCATACTCTGTCATTCCGTGTCACCCCACTCTCTTATTCATAAGGGCATTCTCGTCATTTCACTCAGTATTTATATTTTCTCCATACGGTCCACGCTAATGTTTGTTACCGCGTAGAGGAGAAGAAACATTACCATAATTAATACGGTATAAAAACATTAATTATTATACATAAATAAATAAATAAATGTGTCAGTGAAAATTAATTTTATTTCCCCGAAATTTAAAAAGGGCGATGCAGTGGAGCTTCCCAACGTCTTCCCTTTTTGAGCGACACCTAACGCAGAAAAAATACTTTCACCCCCACGCACGCTCCTCCTTCTCCTTCTCCGCGCACCGCCATACAGCTCTGTGTCTCGCTCCCCGAGGAATTGACAGTCGGATTTACGGCTGGATTTCGTACACGGATCCTGAATTTTGTAGTGGAAACGGAGTTTGAGTGCATTGCTGCTGCTGCTGCTGGTGAGTGTGGATCTTCTGCTGCATTTTGAAGTGCTCGGAGTTGATTGATGAGGATTTAGAATGTGTTTTGGTTTTGATTTTGTTTTGGATAGTAGTGGTGTTTTTTTGGTTAAGATATTTGTAAGCATTTGTTTGTGTGTGTGTGTGCGTGTGTTTGAAGTTTTTTGAATTTCTGTAGGTTTGTACTTTTTTTTTTTGATTTTATCGCTTTTAATTGGAAATTTGGTTGAGCTTCGTTTTTGGAATGGATCTCTCTTCTTCTTCTTCTTCTTTTTTTATTTGGTATAATGGAAAAGGATTTTATGTTTTTAAGAGCTCTGTATCCTTCCATCCATCTTGTGGTTATTTGTTAATTTGTTTTAAAATGCTTTTCTTATGGTTGATTTCTGATATCGTAACGATTAATAAAATTAGCGGTGTGTGTTCTTGTTTCTTTTCCGAACGATAAATATATGGATAAAGTATAAATAAATTGTGAGGTGATAAGACTTATTCTTGTGGATGAATTTTGTTTGTTTGCATTTTCGGATGTTGGAGTGGAGATAAACAAGTTGCTGATTATCTGTGTTTTTTTAATTGTTTGATCGAAGCTGGTTGTTGATACATTGATAATGAGTTACAGCTGGATCTATTATCAGATTTGTCGATGCACAATTTAGACCAAATTTCTGTAGTATTGTCGCCATATTTTCCGGATTCTGTACTTCCTTTTTTCCGTATTGCTTAGATTATGGAAATGTCCTATTCACGGCATACATTGAGCATTTCTGGTGGCCTATCCTTTTCATATCCCTCATTTTAATTAACACAGAGCAGTTGCATGCCTAAAAAAATAATCGTTGTTGTGTCGCCCTGTTATACTACTATAATAGTTTTTGATATAGTCCGGGAAGTTAAATACTCTCTCTATGTTTGGTAGGTATGTAGTATTTTTCAAGAACAAGAATTTTCTAATGCTGCCATGCTGAGATGATTGCTTTTGTTGACCAAAAGTATTTATATATATATTTTTAGTGCCTGTAAAACCCGAACTTGTGACGGTGTTGTAAGATGAACTGCAAGTTGATAGATTTGGGTTTCCCAAGTAGCATTGTGTCTATCTTGTATTCTAATCCTCAAATTCTCCAATTTGTTTTCATCTACAGTTTATAATGGATAAAAGGAGTTGGCCCTGGAAGAGAAAGTCTTCTGACAAGCAGGCTGCTGCTGCATCAGACTCTTCTACAGCTGTTGCAGACACGGATGGTGCTGCACAAGTTGACAAGGTCAGCCCATGTTGCCATGATCGATTTTCATAGTTGAGCTCAAACATTACGCCATCATCTGTGTCCTGACGTCTTCACTCCATCCATCTTGTTATTATTGATCAAATTTTCTCGTCCCATCATTGAACAGGCAAAACAAGATAACAAAAAGCCAAAGTATGTCCAACTTTCTATGGAATCATACACTCATTTAACTGGATTGGAGGATAAGGTAAAGTCCTATGAAGAGCAAGTGCAGGGGTTAGAGGAGGAAGTGAAAGAACTGAATGAAAAGCTATCTGAAGCCAATGAAGAAATGACTAACAAAGAAAACCTGGTGAAACAACATGCCAAAGTTGCTGAAGAAGCTGTCTCAGGTTTCAATTTATCGAGTCTTTCTAATCTTTACTCAGGAAATTTAGGATGGTGGATCTCGACTTAACTGCTGCAATGTTTATGCCTAGGTTGGGAAAAGGCGGAGGCTGAAGCCGCGGCATTGAAAAGCCATCTGGAATCTGTTACCTTGCTTAAGCTTACAGCTGAGGACCGGGCATCACATCTAGACGGAGCTCTCAAGGAATGCATGAGGCAGATAAGGAACTTAAAGGAAGAACACGAACAAAATTTGCACGAAGTTGTTCTCAACAAAACGAAGCTCTTTGACAGAATGAAGCTGGAACTTGAAACGAAAATAGCCAATCTTGACCAAGAGTTAATGAGATCCGGAGCCGAAAACGCTGCCTTATCAAGGTCATTGCAAGAGCGCTCCAATATGCTTATTCAGCTAAGCGAAGAAAAATCACAAGCTGAGGCTGAGATAGAGCGACTGAAGAGCAACATTGAGTCCTATGAAAAAGAAGTAAACTCCCACAAGTATGAGCTCCATATTGCCAGAAAGGAAGTGGAAATTCGAAATGAAGAAAAGAATATGAGTGTCCGATCCGCAGAAGTAGCAAACAAGCAGCATCTTGAAGGGGTGAAGAAAATCGCTAAGCTCGAAGCCGAGTGTCAAAGATTAAGAGGTCTTGTTCGAAAGAAACTGCCAGGTCCAGCAGCTCTCGCACAAATGAAGCTTGAGGTTGAAAGTTTAGGGCGCGATTACGGGGAATCTCGTTTAAGAAGGTCTCCGGCGAAGCCCTCAAGTCCTCACTTGTCCTCAGTCACCGAATTTTCATACGACAATGGTCAGAAATTCCTAAAAGAGAATGAATTGCTCACTGACCGGCTACTCGCAATGGAGGAAGAAACAAAGATGTTGAAGGAAGCCCTGGCGAAGCGCAACAGTGAACTGCAAGATTCGAGAAGCATTTGTGCTCAGACGGCAAGTAAGCTTCAAAGTTTAGAAGCACAGATACAAGCTAATGGTGAACATAAAAATCCTTTGAGACAGGTCCATAACGACGTTAGGGAAGGTAGTAACCTGACTAGGTTTCCCTCTGTATCAGAAGATGGGAATGAAGACGACGTAAGCTGTACCGGTTCGTGGTCTACTGGATTCATGTCGGAGGTGTCCCGTTTCAAGAAGGAAAACAACATTGATACCCAACAAAAGTCCGAAAGCGCAAGCCATCTCGACCTTATGGATGACTTTCTGGAGATGGAGAAATTAGCATATCTATCAAATGGTACAGTTTCAGGTGTCGATATTGGAAATGAAGCTTCGGCAGATGCGACTTCTCATGCACCTCCTGAGGAAGATTCAGCCACTTCAAATCCACAACTACATGCAGATCCTCTCGTGTTTGCGAAGCTGCAATCGAAAGTCTCGTCGGTGCTCGAGTCAATCTCGAACGAGAAAGACTTGGAAAAGGTTGTTGAGGATATAAGAACTGTTATGGAGGATATGAATGACAGTTTGAATCGACAACGCGCAGACATTGAGGGTTCCGCGATCAATCAAGATTGTGAAGTTGCCGTTTCTCAGATTTACAACTTCGTAATAATCCTCGGCAAGGAAGCCAAGACTCTCCCGGCGACAAGTTCCGACGCGGATCGACTGAATAAGGAGCTGAACATTTTCTCTTCCAAATACAGCCAAGATATCAACAAAGATCTCAACTTGACGGATTTCGTTGTTGATGTTTCTCGAGTGCTAAGCAAAGCTAGTGAGCTGCACTTCAACGTTTTGGGGTTCAAAAGCAATGAAGTCGAGACGGGGAGTTCCGATTGTATTGACAAGATCGCACTACCGGAGAACAAGGCCATCGTGGATACTTCCGGAGACAGGTATCCAAATGGCTGCGCTACTCACTACCCCGATTCTGCATCCGATCCCGACGTTCCAAACAACGGAAATCTTGTCCCGACCTCCGAATCAACGGCCTCCTCATGGAAATGCTCAATCGAGGAGTTTGAGCAGCTGAAATCGGACAGGGACAACGTCGCCGCCGATCTTGCTAGATGCACCGAGAACTTCGAAAGCACAAAGTCTCAGCTATTCGAAACAGAGCAGCTTCTCGCCGAGGTTAAATCACAATTAACGTCGGCTCAGAAGTCGAACAGCTTAGCTGAAACCCAGCTCAAATGCATGGCGGAATCGTACAATTCACTCGAATCTCGCACCGACGAGTTACAGAAGGAAGTAAACATTCTCCAAGGGAGAATCGAAACTCTCGAGCACGAGCTTCACGAGGAAAAAAGATGTCACCAAGAGACTCTTAATCGATGCAACGATCTTCAAGAGCAAATCGAAAGGTACCGTTTGTTTAGTTTTAAGTATGTTACGAATCGATCTGATCATACTATTTCGACACAGGGTCGAAAGCAACGCAGCAGCCGACGACAACAACAAAACTAACCAGGTCAGCCTCGCCTTACTTTCTCGGGTATATTACCTCCATTATCACCACCCTTATTATCAATCTTCATCTTTTTCGTCGTCATATCAGGAGAGCGAATTAGCCGCAGCAGCTGTGAAACTAGCAGAGTGTCAAGAAACCATATTCCTGCTCGGCAAACAGCTTAAAGCTCTGCGACCACAAACGGAAATTATCAATTCTCCGAGTCACGTAAGGAGTCCGAAGGTCGAAGACGAGCCAACTATAAGCGACGTGATATTACAAGACAGCGAGTCGTGTGAGCTCGACAAAGCGGGTTCGGAGTCTCCCGTCGACCACCTGCTCATTCCGCCGTTCAGTCCTTCCGACTCCGATGCGAACACCTTGCTGCGATCTCCGGTGAGCGGGAAGTATCAGCAACACCAGTCGACGAAGTCAGGGTCGTCGTCGTCGGCTTCGTCAACACCGACGCCGGAGAAACGCGGGTTTAGCAGATTCTTTTCGTCGAAAACTAAGAGTAGCCAGTAGCTGATGATCATAGCCCTCATGCATCGGAATTTAATAAAATTGAATCGTTGGTTCGCCGTTGCCGGCGCCGCCGCTCTCCCGGCGACCATTAGTCTGTCGGTTCATTACTATATATATATATACATATAATGTGTAGATGAATGAAGGAAGGAAGGAGTGGAGTGAGTTAAGGTTGTGTGGAGACTAATGTGGTGTCCTGAAGAAGAAAATGATGATTGGTATATGTATGTATGTATGTATTATGTTCTGCATTGTTGTTGCTGCGATGATTTTTTTTAGTAAGATTTCTCATTCTTCTTCATGGGGTATGGGGGTGGTTTTTTTTATCGTTATTATTCTTTATGAAAGATATAAAAAAATATAATTAATAAAAAAATAATATTTTATGATTGGATGTTATTTATGTATTTTTTTATACATATAATACTTCATGTCCCACTTAAGTTCTCATTGTACTTATATTAAAAATAGTATTTTTTTACAAATATCATTATAGTAGTTATAAGACATTGTATTTTTATTTTTTTATTTATTTATATTACATTTTTATATAATAATTAATATTTAAAAATTAATCTATTAGACACGAATGAAACTAGTATATTATATGTATTGAGAATTGTGTCTATGTCTAGATAAAAAAAATACTGAGCAAACAAACTTTAAGAATAAATACATTTACTTATATGGAACAATTTTTTAAATTGACTTCCAACTGCAAAATATAAAATCTTAAGAAAATTATATAAAAAAAAAATTTCTTCCATTTCTTTTTGTGATAAAATAATTTATAAAAGAAAAATACTTTTTTAAAATCTTTTATTTGTTTTATAATTTTATTCAGTGTAAAAAAAGCTTTTTTTGGACATGAATAGAAGTGGAAGTGGAAGTGAAATTGGACCAATAGTATTATTATTATTTATTATGGGCCTAGCTGATATTTTTCTGTTCTTGAATTGACCTTATAGATAATTGGGCTTTGGGCCCAATTTTGAGTGAGTTTTTTTGTTGACAGGCCCAATTAGTTTATTACAAATATTAGGTAATTAACGATGTGCTCGCCCTTCAACGGTGGGGGGGCCGCAGGGTTAGGGTTTATCCTGGCATTGTGATTCTTGTGCCTTGATTCGCATATTCTATCGCATTTAGGGTTGGATTGATTGATTGATGATCCTTCATTTCAAGTTTCTACATGGATTCTTGAATCAGCATCATTCAATTGCTTATTTGTTTTTCTCCTTTGCTATGCTGATTTGAGTTGGGCATCATTGCTTGCATCGTTTCGTTAATTTTAATCCCCAATTCGAGCAATTTTCTCTACAATTTTATTATTTTCGATTCCGTTAGGGCTTCTGTGATTGCTTTGGTGGGGTAATTCTTGTATACGCGCTGTGGTCTGGCTGAGCTTGAGCAATGGGAGTTCCGGCGTTTTACCGGTGGCTGGCGGAGAAGTATCCGATGGTGGTGGTGGATGTGATTGAGGAGGAGCCGGTGGAAATCGAAGGTATTAAAATTCCGGTGGATACGAGCAAGCCAAATCCTAACAACATCGAGTACGATAATTTGTATCTTGATATGAATGGAATCATACACCCGTGCTTCCATCCTGAGGACCGCGTAAGTTCTTGAGTTATCTTTCTAAGGCTACCAACGCATTTCTTCAAGTAATTTTGTGAATTATAGTTTGATTAAGCTATGGTACATTGTTTGTATCTCATGGTTTTAGAATCTCCTACTTGTGTTCTGTAGCCGCAAGTTCATTGGTTAGTTCGATTTCTTTTCTTTTTTAAATTCTGATCAGGAATTTATTGGAATATTGAAAGTCAGATTCATGCCAGAAAAATTTGAACAATGATTTAGGGTTTTTTGGTTGTGTTTTGGAAAAGTAAAAATTTTGAATTCAAATAATTGATTGATGTGATAAAAATAGGTAATTTATATGATGTTATATATATATATTTGTATGTAATATATCAAATGAAAATAGATGGATGATTTTATGTTTTGGTAGGAAAACAAATTAAATATGGTAGTGAATAGTGAAAATAGCAAGGGGGAAAACACAACCAAACAAACCTGAGCTGAACGATAACGACCTTATCTTTATTGCGAGACTTGCTTTCTGTTATGTTCAGAATATGTTGTCTTTGCACTCTGAAGTTTACGGCGCTTTGTCGTCTTGCGTTGAAGTTTTGAAGTATTCAAAAATAGCATTCAGTTGTTACACCATGCGGAAATATTGGTTTTCATTTATAATAGCTGCAATTAATGGCTTGTCAAATATAACATTGGACAAAGGAATTGAAGTGCTATGCTAGTTTGTAATAGGAAGTTTGAATTTGTGAGGTATATTAAATTGCCATGACTTGACTGATGAAAGTAATTAAGAAGCGTTTGAGGCATTTCCGATCTCTCTCTCTTTAGACATATATGTATTCAAGAAATTGAGTTTAGTTATCCTTTTGTTCATTGTGAAATCTTTATTGTATATCTCAAAGTTTTTAGGTTTTTTTCTACATAGATGTATCAATAAACTTGAGTTCTTGTGCAGCCTTCTCCAACGACATTTGATGAGGTGTTTCGGTGCATATTTGACTATATAGATAGGCTTTTTGTGATGGTACGACCACGGAAGCTGCTTTTTATGGCAATTGGTGGGTAGAGGTTAAATTTATTTTGGTAAAAGAATTGTGAATTGCTATGGGCCTGCTTCATTAACTTCAAACCGGTATATTTTGATAGATGGTGTGGCACCCAGAGCTAAGATGAATCAACAACGATCAAGGCGGTTTCGAGCAGCCAAAGATGCTGCAGATGCGGTTTGAAATTTCTTAATTCTCTATTCGAACACAGTTTAATTGCAAAAAGATTCCTTTTTCATCAATATTGTTTTTTAGGCAGCTGAAGAGGAAAGGCTTCGGGAAGAGTTTGAGCGTGAAGGCAGGAAGCTCCCTCCCAAACAAGAATCACAACTCTTCGACTCAAATGTTATTACACCTGGAACCCCATTCATGGCGGTTCTATCTGTTGCTCTGCAATATTACATTCACATGAGACTAAATCATGACCCTGGGTGGAAAAACACCAAGGTATTGTTTTTGTTAGCTCAACAAAAACATGCATTTTTTCTATTTACTTTAGTTACTTTTTATTCAAAATATAAAGATTCTCTTTGCACGCCAGCCTATTTAGGTGTGCACATCCGTTGCATCAATTCATGCCCGTTGCTTTACTTTCATGAAGGTTATACTTTCTGATGCAAATGTTCCTGGTGAGGGGGAACATAAGATCATGTCATATATCCGTCTCCAAAGGAATCTTCCTGGTTATGACCCAAATACCCGTCATTGCCTGTATGGGTTGGTATGCAATCTGCTGACTTTGTGTTAAATTGTTGATATTCACTGTTGTATTCTGTTCACTGCCTTTGACTAATTTTTATTGCTGCATTACAGGATGCTGATCTGATCATGTTGGCTTTGGCAACCCATGAAGTCCATTTTTCTATACTTAGGGAGGTATGTACTATGCGTATGAATTGATAATTATGGCCCTGAGAAATTTCCAAAATCTTTCATCTGTGCCATCTGTTTCATTGATATCCAGACATACTGCTTGAATTCTTACCACCTTTTACGAGCTTCTTGATAATAGCTATCTCCTCTGGTGATCTTCATAGGTTGTATTTACTCCTGGACAGCAAGACAAATGCTTTCTCTGTGGTCAAATGGGACACCTAGCTGCAGATTGTCAAGGTAAAGTAAAGAGAAAGGCTGGGGAGTTTGACGAGAAAGGCGATGCGGAGATTGTGCCTAAAAAGCCCTATCAGGTAACCATTAAATTTAATTGGAAGGACACTGCAATAGTGATCCTTGTACTATAGTTCTTGAGATAACATTACTTGAATTTGCAGTTCCTCAACATCTGGACTCTCCGCGAATATTTAGAATATGAGATGAGGATTCCTAATCTTCCATTTGAGCTTGATCTTGAACGAATTATTGACGACTTTATCTTCATGTGCTTCTTTGTGGGCAATGACTTCTTGCCACATATGCCCACTCTTGAGATTCGTGAGGTTTGTCTACTAATTCCTTTTGTTTATAACTGCTTGGTAGTGTTGTTTAACTGGTCTACATTGTCTAACTAAATCAATAGATCTGTGAAGATTTTCTTAATTGGCAGCTAACCCTAACATGAACAACAGATATCAAATGAAACTTCATGGCACCGCTGTATAATTTATTTTCTATTAGCAGCCACAGCCGCAAAAAAATTGTCAAGGCTTTCTTAATTGGCAACTCGTAGCTAAACCTAGCATGAGCGGTGGATATCAAATGAAAATTCATGGTGGTGTTGTATAATTTCTTTTTTATTAACAGCCACCGTCGTTAAAAAATTTAAATTGTAAGGGTTGACCATAGTTACAAAGGACTGTTGGCAAATATAGGGCATCTTAATCTAATACCAAAAGTTAGTTATTTCAGAGAAGAGGTGTTTCTGGTATGGATAACTAAGGGAAGGTTCCAGTATCTAGGTTAAGTGGATATATACATATTTGTTTGGAAAAAAATGGGTGAGCTTTGGGTCAGTTTTGCTACTAAAATCAAGCTATGATGGAGGTACACAATTTGAGTGCTAAATGGGGCACAAATAATTAAAGAGGCTGATGCAAGTAAATTCTTAATTTTGGCTGGTGGGATTTATTTCCTTTTCCATTAGAAAAGTATCAGTTTTTTGATGAATGATATCATGTCTGCGTTATGATTATATCTGTTGTGTACTTGTGTCATTTGATTAATGTTGATTTTGGTATTCAATGCATTCATGTTTTTTTTATCCTTAGGGCGCAATCAACTTGCTGATGACTGTTTATAAAAAAGAGTTGAGGGCTATGGGTGGCTACTTGGTTAATGGAAAAATGGTCTGTGCTATGTTTTGTGGTGCTGGTGCATCATGCTTTTTAATCTTTCCATCTCCCGGAGGTAGTTTTGTCTATTGGATCTTATTATTCTGTTGTTCTTTTTTTTTTTCTTGTCAGCCAAACCTGAGCCAGGTGGAGTACTTTATTCAAGCTGTGGGATCATTTGAAGATAAAATATTTCAGAAAAGGGCTCGCTTGCATAAGGTTGATGTCAACCATAATCCCTTTCTTCTGTTTTTCAATTATTGACTTGTAACGTGCTCTGTATGCAGTTCCATTATCTTGAACATTATGCTGTATGTATTTAAGTGACATTGGTATCTTGAACATAATGAGCTTTATTTGTATGCTTTACGTGTTCTTGAAGCAAGCACAACTAAATTGGGTTTCACTTCCCTTCTCATTATATATATATGTATCGATATGTACAAGCACATGTACATGTAGGAGCATGCACAGAGGCATGTATATTTCACTTTACATTGCTATATTATGCTGCTACTTAGAATCTATACATATAAAGATATCTGCTCATGTTAGGTGATCTATCACTCACTTTGTGGCCCTTCTTGAGATTCAACTACTGAAAAACTCAACTGCCCTTTTATTCTTCTAACTTTTCTTTCCAACTTTCTGGAATACATGGATTTTGTTATCCTTCTTTCTTTCCTTAAAATATTATTATTTTTATTATTATTGTGCATGTTCTAGCGTAGCCAAACAATTAGTATATCTATATTTCCCAGAATGGGGAAAAGGATGCCTCTTGTTCATGAAATATGGTTTTCTGCACTTTGCTCTATGCCTTCTGATTTAATTTTAAACTGTTGGCGTCAGATTCTGGTTCCTGGTTGCATTGTTTATGCTAATTGATTTAATTCTTTTATTCTTTACTAAACTGTGCAGAGACAAGCCGAAAGAGTCAAGCGTGATAAATCTCAAGCTAAAAGAGGGGATGATTCTGAACCAACAAACAGGCCTGATTCTCTTGTTCCTGTTTCTCGATTTCATGGTTCTCGACTTGCTTCTGGTCCTTCACCCTCACCCTATCAGCCCAAGGGTTCAGTTTCTGGTAGGCACAATCAACATGGCCAAGTTACCAGAAGTATGTCAGATCTTGATATTGCTGGAAAGGCACCAAAAGTTGCTCGATTGGATTCTGGAGCCACTATTGGCGCTGCTATTGTAGAGGCTGAGAAGAGCCTAGAAGTGGAAGTATGCATACCTGTGTTTCAATGGCCTATTTGTGTTTTTTGATCTATCAATTCCTTCTGATGGAATTCTATTTGCAGTTCCATTGGTAGAAAATGCCACCAAGGACTGAAATATTTGTGGTTCTTATTTGTCATCTGTTTTGGTGTTTCTTTAGAATATGTTATTATGCAAAATGTTTATATCCAATCATTGTTTCTCATTGCAATTCAGGAAAGTGAAAACAAAGAAGAGTTGAAATCCAAGCTGAAAGAGTTGCTTCGCGAGAAGTCTGATGTATTTAATATGGAAACTCAAGATGAGGATAAGGTTTGAATCATTATCTAAAATTTTCTCTTCCCTTCTTCACTGTATTCTGTCAATATACAAATGTTCTCACATGGATTGATGCATCAAAAGCAGTATGTACGCATCGGTTTTTTTGGTGGAGGTAGGTCTTTTTCTGAGAAATTTGACCCGCAAACTTTCTATCTGGATATGAATTTTTGTTTTTAATCAGACATCTTCTTAAGTAGCAATTGTTGAGTTTATTTGTTTACTTAAGAAAGCCATTTGATTATACCTCTTTTTTTATTAGCCTGTCTTTGCTGCATTAATCATAAAATGAAAGGCTTCTTCTGAGATATTGTGAATGTTGATTTTCTTGTGCACTTGAAATTAGAGATACATGGTTAGAACTTGCAATGTTGCAATGTTTACCAGTGAAAATTGTTCTGCTGATTTGCTTTTCACAGATCAAATTGGGAGAACCAGGGTGGAAAGAGAGGTATTATGAAGAGAAGTTTCTTGCAACATCTCCCGAGGAACTTGACGCACTACGAAAAGATGTGGTAAGTTGTTGAAAATGAATCTTGAAAAAAGGTTTGTACAAATGAAGAATAGGATTGAATCTGAGAGAAGTTAGGAAGGTACCTAAATAGAAATAGATACAGTTGTTCATCTATGGTAGGGTTTATGTTTCATATGCATCTTATTCATCATAATTTCAACCTTTATTTGAATTCATATGTTAAATAATCACTTGCAGGTTTTGAAATACACAGAAGGGTTATGCTGGGTTATGCACTACTATTATGAGGGCGTCTGTTCCTGGCAATGGAAAGTTTCTGTCCTTATACTGTTTGAAAGTCTGTTTTAATGTCTGGGAAGAGATCACACAAATAAAACTGCATGTTTGGCTGGGTAGTTTTATCTATGCTTTTGGGTTCTTATGCCTAAATGACATTTCTATTTGCAACTCTTAACTCTGTTTTTCCTTCTTGCATACTTACATGCATTAAGTCAAAGAAATATACTTTTGATTATTAAGGACCATCATAAGATCTACTTTCAAATTTCATCAGAGTGGTAGGACTTATCTTTAGAACACGATTTTTACTCATATGACATGTGCATTTGCACTGTCTTGCCAACACTACATTTATTGGTTGGGTGGAAGGGTGCTTGTTGTGTATGTATCCATTTTTGTAGCACACTCATTTTTTCCCCTTGCTCTTATAGATCTTTACATGTGCATTGAATTTGGTCAGTTGCACTTACAATACAGCTTACCTGACATCGTAGCACACTTGCAGGTTTTATCCGTACCATTATGCTCCATTTGCTTCAGACCTTGTAAATCTTGGACAATTGAACATAAACTTTGAGCTTGGAACTCCATTTAAGCCATTCAATCAATTGCTTGGGGTGTTTCCTGCTGCAAGGTAGGGCTGATCTTTGATGTATGATTTATGTTTCCTTTTCTTTTCTTTTTTGCATTCTCTAACTGGGTTTGTCTGCAGTGCTCATGCTCTGCCTGAGCAATACAGGAAGCTGATGACTGATCCTAATTCACCTATAATAGATTTCTATCCTACAGGTATGAGTAACATTGTGTTCATGGTGATGTGCCTTTTCATCCTATTATGGGATAGTTAATTCTCCTATCCATCTTTGTCTTTTGTTCAGACTTTGAAGTGGACATGAATGGCAAGCGGTTCTCCTGGCAGGTGCATGTTTATTTTCTAGTACTGTTGGTTTAATATCACTCGAACGGTGTAGATTCAGAATTTCACTTTCCTTCCGATTATCTTGATCTTAGGGTGTGGCCAAATTGCCCTTCATTGATGAGCAACGTCTACTTGAAGAAGTGGCAAAAATTGAACACACTCTTACGGTATGCTACCTTGTTTATCCGTTTGATATGACATATTGAAAATGGCCTCAAACCACCTCTGTGTACCTCAACAGGAGGAGGAAGCTCGTAGGAACAGTGTGATGTCTGACATGCTTTTTGTGTCATTATCTCATACTCTATCACCGTATATATTTTCCCTTGATGATCGCTGTAAGCAGCTGCCTGATAAAGAAAGAACTACTGTTAGGGAGAAGCTTGATCCAGGAGCCAGGTTTGTCTTTCTAGCTTTGGTTTTGCATGAACACTAGGTTGTCTGGGTGTTTGATGACCCAAAATATGCTTAAATAAATAACCAACAATATAAAGGTGTTTAGTATTCTAGAAATTCTGAAATATTCGAAGTATGTGGAGGATGGTGGGTTATTAGCATAATTATGCTTGGTTTATGCATAATTAAGTGTGATTTCTTTTTCATTTTCCCCACTTAAACTAATGTTCCTTGAGCCTGGATTCCAAGTACATTCCTCAATGGCAAAAGGTTTCAGCCTTCTGTGCCTTTGTAAAGATAGATGCAACCCCATCTTACTTTTCCTCTCCAAACTCATCCCTCATGGAGCAATTTTCAACTGATAGGATTCCAATGGACCTAGCCAAGGTTTATGATCACTTTGCCTAAATTAAAGTTGATTAAGAGCATATGGGGAGGTTCCAATGGACCTAGCAAGTGCAGCTGGTAAGAACATGACAAAATCAGCATATGGGGGAACTGATGGCCCTGGTGCTGGGCTGTACAACCTGTACAGTTGTACCTGATTGGATGAAGTTTTATGTTTTGCACAGGGTATTAGAGCCTGAAGTATTTACATCTCATAAAATTTCTACACGTTAGGTTTAGAATGCTTTCGAGGTATTCGTTTGAAGTGGTCTATGAACTTCAGTGCATGAATTTTTGCACTGTGCTTCTTATCTCGATGGATTATAGATAGATAAAAATATTGGCTATTAGTGGGTTATGTGGCATGGGTAGGTAGATGTCATTTTGGAGTAGTAGTTGGATGCCAAATTAGCCACCATTTGCAGTGTACTGCCAAACCTGCTAGCCCAGAAGGGGTATTGCTACCGGGGTACTTGCTGATCACTCGAGGGCATTTGATTCCATCTAGGACCTTCAATTGGATGCCTTTGTTGCTTGATGAATTCCAAAGCAATCACTAAAGTTGTTGCTTGGGCATTTATACTTATTGGCATCTTATTGTACCCACAGGACTGAATCTCCAAATGCCTAACTTGCCAAAATTTGAAGTATGAGATGTCTTCCAGCAAGATTTCACCTGCCCCTTCCCATTGTAGCTAAAATAGGGAAAGATTAGGCTCAATCACTTTGTGCTCATTGTTGCTTTAGTTTAGCCTACGGTTTGGCTTGGGACAGGAAAATATGCTTTATAGTTTGTTCTTTCCATTAACACAAATGCCCAAAATGAAATAGCAAAATGTGCAGGCCAAAGAATGTGCTAAACTAAGTGTGCAGTGAGCTCAAAGTTAATAGGCCTGCTCTTGCTATGGGCGGTGTTGTGTACCCGAGTATTGGTGGATGGGTTCCTCCTAGGCCTACCAGCGGTAACTATGTGATGTTTGGAAATACTACTACCTAATCCCACCAATACGAATGCTATGAGGTGTATTGAAACCCAGCATACACATGTTACCAAATTAATTTCATAGTTGCTTGCCTATGTAGTATTTTGAATAGAAAGCAATAAAGACCTTAATTCTTTATCTCCTAGTAGCCACTCATTGAGATACATGCAACTAAAAAAATTGCTTCTATGCTCAAAATTGCTTCTACTAGTATCGGCGTAACTTTGAGCATAGAGGCAATTTTTTTTTAATAGTTTGTTAATGTACCCGTTGTCCCAAAGTATATGCTCTTTAAATGGATGAGAGCCCCTTTAATTGTTTAGAAGACCAGTGTAAGATAACTCTCATGCTAGATAAATTATAGTTTCTAGAGTTGGGTATTGGACTTTGTGTTGTCCTGTTCTAAGAAATTCAGGACAAATATTTTTGAGGACAAAATGGAAATTGCGTGATGGAGTCAGAACAGGTCTTCCATCCTGAAGAAATATCCAATGGAAATATATCCCGATTTCTGACCATTAATTATCTTAAATAAATCATTAGCATAATTGATGGATCATAATAATTATTTGGTTTCAATCTACTGCTTGACTTATGTCGATGATTTGCCACTGATATACTTATTATCATTATTTTCAAAGTGACCCTTACCATGTCTCTTCATCCCATTTGGTTTCATACCTTTTATTTTAATATTTTATGATATAGAATGTGGTCTATAGAAGATATGATGATAATAGTTTAACATCACTACTTTTGGTCTTATCATGCGATTTGTTTAAAAACCTAATATGATGTGGTCTAATGTGAATGTGGTTTGTACGTAACATTTGATGCAAGGTTGAGAATATATTCATGCTCATGAAATAAGTGTATAATGATTATCCATTGTTAAAAGTTGAAATATTCTAATGACTGCTATCAATTCGGATATCATGCAGTGGTGGAATGAATGGCTATATTTCTCTTTGCACTGGGGATCCTTGCCCTCCTCTCTTCAGATCACCTATTCAAGGGATGGAAGACATTATGAGCAATCAAGTCATGTAAGAAGCTCCAATGCAATATCTACCAATTGGATTCATCAGAATCTGGAAGTCTGTTTATTATGTTTTCATATCATAATCTTACCCTGAGCTTTTATATATATATATATATATATATATACACACACAGATGTGCTATATACAGTCTACCAGACTATCACGAACACATTGCTCGACCTCCCCCAGGTGTTACTTTCCCAAAGAAGGTAAGAAGCTGAATTTGTTACTTTTCCATGGACTAATGCTTTTATTATCTTACTTCTGAGTGTTCTTTTGGCATTTCCATTTTCTGTTTTGTGCAACTCATATGAATTATATGGATAGATGCATGTAGGTCGATCATGCTGCCGCTTCTTGAAATATTAGTACTAGATTATCCTCAACGAGAAGCTAGATTTTTGTGGCCTATGTGAATAGTAAAAATACGAACTTCTATCAATTATTTAGCTTGTTTCATTTCTTCATCACATGATTCCTGTCTGCGAAACCCCAGAAACCTTGGTACCGTAGAAACTATAATGCAATCAAAATGAAACTCAGATCACATCCTACCTATTGGGAAGAAGACAAATTACACACTTTGTTTCCGGGTTTAAAGACTTCTCTGGCCTCTCTACCAGCCGATACTTTGAATCTTACTTATTTGCAGATAATGATATGTGGATATTCTTGTAATCAATCTTAGAATCGACATTGTTTTGTCAGTGATGCTTGAGCTGTACCGTTTAATGTGTGCAGACTGTAACTGTTGGTGATCTACGACCAGAGCCAGTACTTTGGCATGAAGATTCCGGAAGGCGCCCATTCGACAATGGAAGGTATATTTTTGTATACATATATATAATGTATATATATATATATATTGAACCAATCCCTCGATGGCTCTACGAATTACATTGACATACTTTGGATCTACGTCATCTCTTTTTTACAGGTATAACAACAACAATAACAATCGGCACAACGACAACAGGCACAACAACCGGCACAACAACAACAGCATGAACGGCGCTGTAACCGGCCGACACCTCGGAGATGCTGCACATCGCCTTGTTTCTAACAGCTTACAGCTAAGACGAGACAACAACGGTCACCCCAACCACATGCACCCTCCCTACCCACCAGCCGATCCACAGCGTTATCAGGCTTATCGGAACCCTATGTACCCTCCCCCAGATCATGCCGTGGTGCAACCAAATTCGACCTATTACCCGCCCCGACCTTCGAGCTCCATGCCTTACCGGCAACAATACACCGCCCCACCTCCACGTAATCCCCCTCCAACCGTCCCCAACCCTAGATACAACCGAACCCAAAATCCTCCCCCCGAGCCGAACCATAGGTATGCAGCACCCCAACCCCAGGACAACTCGAGACCTGGATACTACGCCCAAGGTCAACCCCAACCGGGATACGGATACTCCCCGTACACTGCACACAATTCTGGTGAGCCTCTGATCCGGCCGGGTGTTTACTATCATCAGCTGGGCGGGTACAATGGAGGAGGATCTGAAGATGAACGATCCTACGGACACGGTAACTATAGCAATCGAGGCAGTGGCGGCGGTAGATCAGGTGATTCTTATTCGGACAGGGGATACAATCAGCAACGCCACCCGGGGAACCAGTTTGCGGGCCGGGGCAGGGACGGAGGCAGACGACCACCGCACTCGGATTACAGGCGGTAGAGCCAGAGCGAGGCATTCCCAGGTTTTTTATCTGGCCTAGGCTGTGGATGTTCGAACAGCGATGGCGTAGGTATGAATGCTAGTTAGGTCCCGAGGGGTCGGGGGATCGGGCCGGGCCGGGCTGGGTTTTGTTGTATCCTTTGAAGTTAATCGTGTTGTACTATCATATATAGATTGATTGATTATGGATGTATATGGAAATTGGAACGTTACTTAACTACATAAAGCAGGTACCCAAATTGAACCCTTCCCAATATACCAATGAATGTGTGTGTGATGATGAATGAAAATTGCATATTTTGTATATTAGGTTCAATCAAAGGTTTACTAGAACATCTGTATTCGACCAGTGGCGCTTGCGGTTTTTAGGTTATAAAAAAAAAAATAAAAAAGCACATAATTCATTCAATGTATTTTGTTTAAATGTGAATAATAGTATTTAGATCATCTTCAATCCATAATTTTATTTTTGTCCATTTTTGCAGGGTCAGTAATCCATCTTCAACTATACTCTCTATTTCTGCAGGGTCTCTTGGAGTCAGCGGGTGCTTAAGTATTCCGCTGGATACCCTCTATTTCTGCAGGGTCTCTTGGAGTCAGCGGCTGCTTAATATTCCGTTGGATTCCAGCTGGAATTGGGATGGGTTGGAGCAGTTTTTTTCTTCCCATTCTGCAAAAATAGAGGAAAATCTCATCGGTTGGAGATGGTCTTAAAACTATAAATCAATGAAGTATGTCTATTAGTTTATTTATGTTTATATATGTAACATATGGCTGCTTTAGGGTGCTTAAAGATTATTTACAAACAAATATAATACTACAACAAATTAATTTACATTACATGATAATAACCTCACTACAATACAACTTACACATACATATTATATGTTAACATAAGATATTGTTTCAACAATACTGTATATATCATCACAATAGACTGATTAAACTCAATCAACATCATAATCAATCCCATAATATATATATATACACATATTTATATCATCATTTGCGAGTGATTTTAGCACTATTTCTCAAGGATTTTATTTGTAAAATATACTCTATGCATCTCATCTCAATATACTTTTTATTATTTTTGTTTGTTTCATTAAAAAAAAAAATATTAGATCGATAGTAATAAATTAATGACCAATCCCACAGAGTTCGGGAGCAGATTCTCTTATTGCTTGCAAAAATACAAATAAAATAAAATACTATATTAAAATTATTTTATACATTTTCACTGATCGATAAAATTTTATTATTTTTTAATTTACTATATATATATTTTAAAAAAAGTACTTTTAAGTCTTAACGGAAGGAGTAGTATATTCATTTGTAATGGTATGTTTAGAGGTAACTTGGAAATATTTTGAAATTTGAGTTTCTTAAAAAATTAAATGGAAAATAAAAAGTTTGTTTAGATAAGAAGTTTTTTGAGGTTTTTGGAAATTTAGAACTTTGGAAAAAAAAAAAAAAAAACAAAATTATTATCTGATTTAATTTGATGTTTTGTAAGAAAAAAAATATATTTGATATGATATTTTTTTTGAAAAATAAATAATATCAAATGAGTAAAAAAATGTATTTGGTGTGTATATTCATATTATATTTAAAATGTTTTACTACTACTATTATTATTACAAAGGGACGTGATGATGGGAGTGTTGGAAAGTTGGAATGAAGAAGAAAAGCTTTTTATTATGTTAATCTTATCTTGCAACATTTCCTCTTTTTTTTTTTTTTTTTCTCCTAAATTCACTGCAATATTTTTAAATTTAAAAATCATTAATAATATTTATATACATTATACATATGTTAATATACACTTCACTTTATCTCATCACATCATTCAAATAAAAAAACAAATAATCATTTTTTTCTCCAATCACATCAATTAATATCCAAATTATCTCAAATTATCATACTTAATACTCTCTACTTAAATTATCATGTCAAACACAATTGTTGCATATGTTTTAACACAAGGGAGTACTAATTAGTTGTACTTGTACCCGCAGGGTGAGGTCCAGGAGTCCATCTTAACTGGTCCCGGACCACTCGGTATCATGCATGCATCGTTGAGGGACACCACACCAGTTGGCCGTGTGGCCCTTTCTACCTTCAATTCATACCCACTTTTTTGTTTGAATTGCCTTTTTTTTTTAATTCTTTTTTTTTATTTTTTTATGACGTGCGAAACCCACATCTGCTATTTTTTTAAAATATTTTTTTACATCAAATTTAATAATATGTAAAATTAGAATTAACAAAACAGATTAAACTAGACGAACACAAACAAAATTCAAAGATATTGAAAATTTAAAACCATGATCTTTTATTGTTGCTTTTAGTTTGTGTATTTTTTAGTGTCTTATTTTTTTATTTTTTTTTTTATGTAAGGTGATTTTATGAATTATATTTAAATTAGTAAAATAAAAAAAAATTGTGTGTAAATAAAAGAAAATTTATAAGTTTTCAAATGAGAAATAATAATAAAGGATTTAAAGATAAATAAGGTAGTTGTATTTAATATTGATATTGATATTAATAGTGCCTGATCTTTGGTATTTTTTATTATTTAATACTACTACAAATTGTAATACGATGTATATTGTTTTTTGTTTGAAATAAAAATAAAATAAAATGACAGTTAGTGATTTTTATTAATTTTTTTTTTTATGATATTTAGTATGGTCAAATTTATTAAATTGGACATACGATAGTAGAAAAGTGTTCAATCTTACGGACGCGTTTACTTTGAATGATTAATGTGGATAATATTATTTTATTTTCACTTTAATCATTTTTTTTTATTATTATCTATTATTATAATCCGTAATTAAATAAAATTCGGTAGAATAGTGGTATAATTAGAGATTATTAGTCCTCTTTTTTTTAGATAGGTAATATAAGGTAGTATTAATGTTAAGAATATTATTTTGTCTTTTATTATAATTAACTTTGTATTAATTTTATCATATAATTAAATATATTTTTAAAAAATTTATAATCTTACATCATAATTCATTAAAGTAAACATTATATTATTATATCATATGATTATAATCTATTAAAATAATATATATATATATTTTTTATATGCCGTTGAAAATTGTTATATTTAAATAATATTTTAATTGGTATACTCGTGTATTTTTTATTTTTTTTTAAACTTGTATTTAATTGGTACTTTTTAGTGTAAATAAGTATAAATTATTTTATTTGGAAAAAAGAAAAAAATAATAATTAAATGTATATTTTTTTGGGTGGACATGAAGAGTATATTTAATTTTAGAAATATATATATATATATTACATTTTGTGTTTGTACAAATTAAAATATTATATATAAATGATGGACATGGACAGCTGTAGAATTAAAAGCATAAGTGGATTGGTAAGAGCATTGAGAGATAGGACGAATTATTATTATTATCATCATCATCATCGTTGTTGTTATTGTAAAAATTTAACTTGATATTTCCTATAATTGAAATGTTAGAAAAATAAATTTAAAAAAAAATTATACACCAAAATTAGCATGATGATGGATTTGTTTAATTTGTTCCACAATTTTTCTTATTCAATTTTATTTTTAATTAAGAAAAATGATTTTTCTTAGGAAAATATCGTATCAGACTATTATTAAAAATAAAATTCAAATTAAAAAAAAAAAAAAAAAAAAAAAAAAAAAACTTAAACCTAAATGCAAACAAAGCACAAAAAATTGTTTTTCAACCTTTTTAGTATTATGTAATTCTCATTATGCTATATACATCTTTTCATTATTTAAATATAAGTACTCTATCCGTAATCTAATTTTATTTTTATTTTTATTTTGTCATTTAAATTTATTTATTTATTTATTTTTAAAAAAATATCAATTTTTTCTATTTTTTTATTTAAAAAAATATCTTTTTATTTTTATCTATTTTTCTTAAAAATTCGTATACACAATTGAATAACCAAGGAGGATGACATTACGTAAACTCCCTTATTAATTACAACATGCCACCGACACATTGAAGAAAAAAGAGGATTTCATATGTATAAATTAATAAATACTTCTCATTCATGAAGTCATACTATTCGGCTGTTGACCTTTTAAAAACTATTATTATTATTATTATTTTAAAAAAAATTATTCTCTCCTTTTCGGAACATATATTACAAAAAAATAATATATTTGTAACGGAATTCCGTCCCTAAAGTTTAGGTAGCTAACGTAATTCCGTTACTAATTCCGTCTCTAATATCATTAGTAACGGAAAAAATAGATTTAGAGAGAATAAATTTTTGTTACAAAAATGATTTTTTTTGTAGTGATAGTCTTGGTTGTATTGGATACAAAATTTAAAAAATATTGATATTATATTGATATTTGATAAAAAAATATAAGTAAAAGATATTTTTGTCCTTGTGAGTGTATTAGTGTAAAAAATATTGACAATTGTGTAATAATAATGAGATAATAAGGGCAGTTTTATAATGATATAGTTATTTATGGAAATAAAACGATTGTTTTGAGATAGACAAAAATAATAAACAAAATTATATTGTATTGGAACGGATGGAATATTATTATTATTCTTTTTTTTTATGACGAAAAAAAAAAAAACTATTACTATTATTATCATGAAAAGTAACGCGGATATAGTGATGATATATTGTAATGTATATATGAAAAGAAGTTGCAGTCTTTTCCCCAACTCCACATTTTAACTTTATTATTTTTATAATCTTTTTTTTTTTTTTTTACGATGACGTGAGAATTCAAAACAATATTTTTTTAAGTATATATTGAATAAAGTCCTAATTGAACGTAATAACATACAAATTACATCGGCAACTAAAAAATTATACTCTATCAGATAAAAAAGATCAATAGGCATAAGAAAATTTAAATTTATAACCTCGCACTTAGTACACAAGCACACTTATATCACTTCAATAAAATATTAATTTTGTAACGAGGTTTTTTCGTTACTAAATTTATTTATTTTTCGTTACTAATGATATTAATAATAGAATTATGAATAAAATTACGTTAACTACGTGAACTTTAGGAACGGAATTCTGTTACAAATGTACTACTCCCTCCGTCATGCAAATGTGTGGTCATTTGACCGGGCACGAGTTTTAATAAAAGTGAGTAATAATTGTTACTTTTTTTTTTATAGTAAAAAAATGTACAAAAATATAATAATTTTTTACTTAAAAATGTAACAAAATTATTTTTTAATGACAAGCCAAAAG